CTGTCCAGAAGCCGGCGACTGATCTGCCTCGCCCAGGAAGAGCGCAATGATGGTGCCAGCTTGGGCCAGTGAAGCAACGCCCTCCACAACTAGACTGAAGAACAAAACGACAGCAACTTGTCTGTTCCCCTTCCCCCAATTCCCCAGCAGTGTTCCCATCCCCTCAATTCCCCAATTAAAAAAAAAAAAGTGCTTTCTTGTTGGCTAAATGATACAGTACATGCCATATATTAGCACATGGTACTTACTGTTCTCATGTTTCTATCAGATCCCTATTTAATCTACAACTCAAAAAAAGATTACAATAAAGACCCTGCCGATAGCACAAATGTTTTTTTTTCAGAGTCTGTGTTTTCTACAATAAAAGAAATTCCCACTTGTTCCGTTAGCCAAGATACTGGAATAAAATATATGATCCCAAAGAAGTCCCAAATGTTACAAAGGAAAATAATTTAACAAATTAGGTATTCCTCTGTTTCCTAAAAGAGATCAGTTCAACAAAACACATTTTTATAATGCCTCCTATAAAGCAAGCCCTGTTAGGACTACATAAACTTCAGTGAACTGGAAGCCCCACCACGTTGCTTTTGGGAATCCCAGCAAGAAGGGACCCTCAGTCTTACTAGTCACCCCTGACCAAGGCCCAGTCATGACCCTACCCCTTCTTTCAATCTCCACTCCCTCCCATCATATGCTTCAGGAGAAATAAAAAGCATCATTACCTTGGGAAAAAGTTGGGGTACTTCTATATGTTGATAAGCTATGTATGGCAAGGCTCCAGATTACCTTTTAAATATAACTTCTTTAACAAGAACCTCTTCAAAGACAACCCCTGTAATAGAATAAGTCGGTTTTACACAGGCCTAGTTCTAAAAGTCTGCCTCCCCCACTTGTTTGCTGTGGGTAATCTCAGCTTCCATTACCCTGCTGAAAATATATGGTGACATCACCCACTTTACTCTGTTGTGTTGAGGATACGAGATATCTAAAACAGCCATTCTGGTGGGTACTCACAAAAGTTAGTTCTCCTCCCTGCCCTTCTGAAGAATTTGGTCATTTTTGCTCATTCTATTTCTGTATCACCAAGCTAAGTATCCCTTTTTCCATCTGCAAGTTTTTGCCCCATACAGGTTTGGAAAATGTGAAAAGCACTTCCTGGCAATTCCACTAAGAGAAGCAAGTATTATGCTCACTAACTATCTATGTGTATGAAGCCCAGAAGTTACTTCAAAAATAACTTCTCAACAAAGAATTCTATGGGTACCATGTATTGAGTAGCTACTACTATGTACCAGACACTAGCTGACTATCCTCCATGTGCAATCTCATTTACGCTTCACAACAACCTTATGAGTAGGCGTACTGTCTCCAAAGTTACAGCTGAGGGCACAGGCGATAAGAGTTTAAGACATTTGCCCAAATTCGCACAGCCAGAAAGCGGCAGAACAAGGATCGCAGGAGTAAGACATCTAAAATAGCCATTCCCATGGATGCTCAAGAGTCAGCACTCCCCGCCTTCTGAAAAACGGGATCTCCCTTGCTAATCCTAACTCTCTAACACCAAGCTAACGTGCAACCAGTCTCCAGTGCTTGAACTTTGGTCATTCCACCTGCACACGCTTTGGGGCTCCCCGTCCGTTGGTACAGAATGGACAGGCACACATCTCTGGGAGCACACATCTCGCCCTGTTTGAGGAGTGAGCGGGCCCGCCTCCTCACTACACCCGTTACCAGCCGCGCAAATCGAGACCCTGAGAGCTCAACGAAGGCGCAAGCTCCCCAATGACAAAACGCCAGAGCCAGACTAGTGTAAGAGCCTGAGCCGAGTCTTCCTTTAGAGTTGCGGGGCCGGCCCAGAGACGCCGCGCGCCGCCCAGGGCTCGCAGTCTCCGCTCCGCCTCTACACCCGCTTCTGTCCCCTCGCTCCGGCCAAGAACTCACTGGAGTCTGAATACGCCCATGCGCCTCAAGCTCTGGGCTGCACCCCATGCCCCTAGCCACCCAGGTTCCCTCCTTCCCAGCGCCTACCTGGTTGCTGCAAATATCATGGGCAATCAACTTCATCCTCCCGCCTCGGAAGTGACGTAAACTCCCTTCCCCCAGGCTCCGTCCAATCCCAGCCTTTAGGCCGCGCGTGCGCATTGGACATGCTGCCCTCAAGACGCAGGCAGGATACGCAGGACTCAGAGGTCTTAAGGGCGTCCTCCTGCTTCAGTGTCTTCCCTCCACCTTCCGGGGGCAAATTGAGAAGTTCTTGGTTTGGGTTCAGCGCACTGGGCGCAAGGCGGGGGTGGGGAGGACAAAGGTGGAGAATATGTGTTATAGTTATCAAGACTTATTAGAAAGCCATAGTAATTAAAACTATGGTATTGGCGCAAAGATAAATAAAAAGGTCAATGGTGTCAGAAAACAAAATTAAATGAGTAAATTTGAAGATCTGATTGGATTTATTAAGTGATTATAAAATGATTCATGAATGAGACATAATCCCACCTAGTAAGTAGAGAGGAGTTCCAAAAGGCTACAGAAAGGGAAAGGTTTTTTTGTTTTTTTGGGTTTTTTTTTTTTGGAAAGGTTTTTAAAGGCTAGACAAGGAACTCATAAAAAAGATAGTTTCAGACTTAGGTAACTTATCAGTTGGGGGATGAAATGGGGAGAGTACCTCATCTTTTTTGAGGGGGATGGAAAGGGTTACTTCATTGGTGCTGACCAGAAAATTCCACACTGACTGGTTATAAGACTACATTTATGTTGCGAGCACCTGGAAGGGCAGTCGCCACATTTCAGTCCCTTCCTGAAAGTCAAGGGGACATCAACCCCTTGGCTGGGCCCTAAGTCCCTGCGTGGTACTCGTGACGCGAGTGGGGAACAAAGTCCCGACACACAGGTTCAGGTAAAGTGAGTAACACAGATTTATTTGGGAACCAATGTCCCTCCAGAGGCCAATGCTCTGGTAAGCACAGAGGGTTATACAGAATAGAATAGAGTTTAATAACAAACCAAGCCCCACAGTCAATCAAGATGGAGAAGGGTCCCTGGTCCGGGAGAGACGACTGGGTCCATTACGGGTCAGAGGCAAGCTGGTCTTGCAAGGAAGGACTTCAAAGAGTCCCAGAGTATCTCGGCTTGCACCTCGCAGAGGGTCTTAGCCGGAGCGCCCAGTGAAACTACTCATGGCACTGCTCTGGAGTTCTACTTTTATCCTCTTTTTCTTGGACTTGTTTACGTCTTAGGTAATAACCAGCAGTTGTTTTGGTGAACGTGTTTACCACTCAATTTTGTTATGCTCGGTTTCACACAAAAACATAAACATGTTTATTTTCACTTTACTCTTATCAGTCTCACACTTACTAGTAAACAACTTGTTTTGCAAGTCTCAATCCAAAAACAATCTTGTTTATAAACAACTAGTGAACAACTAGTAAACAAGCCTCAATCCAATAACAACCTTGTTTATACTATATTTTATTTGCGCTATACAGTTCCCTGGGGAAAGTTGTAACTATAGTTAGGTTAAGTATTAAGTCTTGGTTTGCATAGAATAAGTGACTCCATTTTGGGCTTGTTTTTTTTTAACAATGGAAGAAAGAGGCCAGAAACAAATCAACAGGCATATGATCACATTTTCCCCCCTACAAATGAGTCACTATAATTTAATAGGAAAGTTCTTTTCAATAAAAAGTGCTAGATCAATAGGATGTCAATTGGGGGTAGATGGGGTGATGAAACTTGACTCCTACCTCAGACCAAAAAAAAGGAAAAATCACTTCAAGATGTATTGTAGACCTAAATATGAAAGGTACAACTCTAGAAAATAACAGCAGAGTATTGTGCCCATGACATAGGAAAATATTCTTATCAGGACACAAAAAGTACCAAAGGGAAAGGCTGATAGATTGGGTGGCGCTAAATTTAAGACATGGAAAGACATCATTAAGAGAGTAAAAGGCAAGCAACAGAGTGGAAAATATGGCTTTTATTTTAAAATAAAATAACTTCCATTCAGAATATATGACTAATTCTTGGGAACAATTTTTTAAAAACCTGCAGTGGTAGAAGAGGAAGCATGGGAAAGGATATTAAGAGAGAAACTGAGGGGAATTCTCATAGTTCAAAATTCAAGAAATGGCAAAAGTGTATAAGTTGAAAAATCTCTCTTCCTGTTCTCCAGACACCCAATTCTCCTCCCTCAGGTGACAACACTATTAGTTATGTGTATGTTTTCGAAGCTATCTTACGTGAAACCAAGCAATTACTTAGCATTATTCCCACATTTATACAAACAGCATACTGTAACACTGCTTTGTATATTGCTTTTATACACTTTAGTCAGTTAATATATCATGGAAATACTCACAAGTATCCACAAAATCTAGGAACACCAGGGAAATGTTATTTTTTTTAATTTATTTATTTATTTTAAAGATTTTATTGGGGAATTGAGGGAGGGGAACAGTGTTGGGGAATTGGGGAAGAGGAACAGACAAGTTGCTGTCCTTTTGTTTTTCAGTCTAGACGTGGAGGACGTTGCTTCACTGGCCCATGTTGGTATTATCATTGTGCTCTTCATGGGTTAGGCAGTCGCTCGCCAGCCACTGGACGGCTGCTCACGGTAGCTTACGGCAGCCCACTGCAGCTCCACTGCAGCCTACACCATCACCGGCGACTCACAGCAGCCCAGCTCCAGGTTGAGCTGTTGCTCACCATCTTAGCTGTAGAGTGTGCAGCATCACTGGCCCTAATGTGGGGTCTGAACCGGGGCCCTGCTGCTCAGAGCTGGCGCTCCCAAGCCAACTCTTAACCAACGAGCCACTCAGCCAGCCTGGGAAATTTTATTTTTAACTAGGTGTTAGCCACCTTTTAAAATAATGTGTTCAATATATTTTCCTGAATTTTTCAGAGGAGTTTGTATACCCTCCTGGCTTCTCTCCATTGTTCTGGGAACTCCATACAGGAGTTCACTGTGCTTGCCAGTTCACAAAGTGTGAATATCTCAGTAACAAACTCAATATGATCCTGAGTCCTTACCACAAGACAGAGTCAATTTTCTAGGGTTAATTTTCCAGGCATACCATCCATCCTATTAGCCATCCCACACTTCAGTCTTTCTTGGAGTCATTCTAGAAGCAATACAATAAACTCCAATGTGTTTGTAGCCAACTTGAAATGGCTCTCCTGTCAATCCAAGTGTAAGAACTCTAACTTCCTAGCCAGGATATTATACAAATAGACCTCATTGGTTAGCACAGTATCATGGCCTTCAATAAAAACAGGACAGGGAACTTCTGTTCCCAGGAAGATGGAATAGACACACTTTCCTCTATTCCTCTTGCTAAGTACAACTAAAAAGCCTGGACATTATATTTAAAACAAACATAAGAAGACTCTGAAACATGGAGAGAAGTTAGGTTAGCTAAGAACCTTGGGACCCATGGACCAATATGGTGGTGAGTTCCCTGGGTTTTCTTTTTACTTCATTATCCCAGACTGGGTACTGGAGAAGCAGGCAACCTGAGAATGCCAACAGGAACAAAACCCCAAGAAAATCCTGCTCTCTAGCCAAAGGACAAGGAAAAGGGCAACCTTGAGAAATGGAAAACTTAGACAATAACAGCTCTACTCCATCCAAAACCACAGAAAAACTTCTGCCCACAACCACCCCTGCCAGCTAAGGCAAAGTGGAAAACCTAGACTTCCTCCCAACTTAGGCTATAAAGAGGCACCAGTATCCCTTTTCCCTTTCTACTGTTACGGTGTCAGAGAAGGCCAAGTGAAGAGCTGGGACTTTCATTCCCATTAGGCAGTAAGGAGGCTCTTGCCCAACATGGTGTTAGTGGAAACTACGAGGGGGACATGGACTTGCAATCCCAATTGATGGTAAGAAGGCACCCTATTTCCCTCCTCTCTTGGGTGGTGTCAGAAGAGGTGAAGTGAAGAGTCAGGACCTTCACCACCTCTCAGTGGCAATAAGGCCACCTCGTATCCTACATGTCAATGGAAACCATATAGGAAGCAATAACTAGGCACTCCACTCCCTCCCAGCCAGGGTGGTCTCAGTGGAAGCCTACTGGAGAGCCTCAACTCCCACTTGCACCCAACAAGTACTCCCTCCGAGTGTCAATGAAGGCCAAGTGGAAAACCTGGACTTCCACCACCACCTGGCAATAATGAAGAGAAACCTCCTTTCCCATAACAAAGTGGTGTGAGAGGAAGCCTGCTAAATCACAAGATTTAAATAAGATCCAGAGTTCTATGATAAAAAAAATCCAGGTTTCCATCAAAAAGCATTCATTATACACAGAACAAATTGTTAGTCGCCAGATTGGGGAGAAGTGGGGGATGGGTAGAAAAGGTGAAGGGATTAAGAAGTACAAATTGTCAGTTATAAAAATAGTCATGTTGGGCCGACCGAGTGACACGTTGGTTAAGAGTTGGCTTGGGATGCCAGCTCTGAGTAGCAGGGCCCTGGTTCAGATTCCACTGGGGGCTAGTGACGCTGTGCCCTCTACAGCTAGGGTGAACAACAGCTCAACCTAGACCTGGGCTGCTGTGAGTTGCCGGCCATGGCATAGGCTACAGTGGGGCTGGCCAGCAGTTAGCGTGCACTTTCGTGAGCTGCTGTGAGCTGCCATGAGCCACCATGAGTGGCCGTCCAATGGCCAGCGAGTGACTGCCTCATCCAGGAAGAGTGCAATGATAATACCAACATGGGCCAGTGGAGCAACGTCTTCCACAACTAGACTGAAGAACAAAAGGACAGCAACTTGCCTGTTCCCCTTCCCAGATTCCCCAACACTCTTCCCCTCCCCCAATTCCCCAATAAAATCTTTTAAAAAATTAGTCATAAGATATAAAGTACAGCATAGAGAATATACTCAATAATATTATAATAACTATGTATGGTGTCAGATGGGTACTAGATTATTGGGGCAATCACTTCGCAAGTTATATAAATGTCTAATCACTATGTTGTACACCTGAACTAATATAATATTATAAGTCAACTGTAATTCAAAAATTAAAAAAAGAAAACAATTTTAAAAAGCCAAAAT